AGCATTTTACTTCAATTGTCTCAATCTCACATGAACATCCATTTATAACATGATACCTTTTTAACTAATTTAAAAGAGTACTTTTCCTCACTTTTTCTCTTCAAACCTCTGTGTTTATTAATCACAATATATTAGCTGTAGCTGTATGTCTTAGTGAGGCTTTAGTCTAGTTAATGTTATCACCATGCTTCCTTGTTTAGTTGTAATTTCCGGTTTCCTGTGTAAGTCTGTCTTGTCCTCAATGCATAACTTTTAGTTATGCCCATGCCTCATCCTCCTTATGCGTTCCCACGTTCCTCTCCTAATGTTTCGTTCCTTTCCATCTCCCCAGTCTGTCATGTATTTCATGTCTGTGTTTTTTTCATGTCCTATTGTCAAGTTCATGTTGTCACAGTCTTCATCTCATTATGTTTCTTGTTTTATTTTAAGCAGTCTCATGTTTCCATGTTCAGTGTATTTAGTTTTGCTTCCCTGTGGCGTCATGTTCATTTGTGTCAGCTGTGTTCCCCAGATGTTCCACTTTCCTCATTACCTTTCTGTGTATTTAACTCCTCTGTTTCCCTTTGTTCAGTGTTGGGTCATTTGTTTATCTCGTCTCATGGCTATAGATTTTTATGTCACTTCAGGTCTCAGGTTTTTCATGCTCCTGTTATGGTTTCCTCACGTCTTTGTTTTTGCATGCTCCTGTTCAGATTTATGTTCATGTTCATGTCTAGTTCTAACTGTTCCCATTTTAGGTTATCATTTATTCTTTGCCTCTGTCTTTGCCTTTGTTTTTGTTTTGTTTTTCTCTACCACCCTAAATAAACAGCTTGTTTTTTGTTGCACTTCAGTTTTGCCTCCCGTGCGTTCTGCTTTTGGGTCCACACCAAAACACACCAGCTACTCAGCTGGGACAATAGCTTATTTTATTAAATTATACATGTCAAAATCAAACATTCTCTGAATGTTTCCTTATTTTTGACCGAACACTAATAGCCTCAGACAAGATCTGGGCTGTGTGCCATGTTTGCATTCCCCACTTGTTCAAACAATCCCAGCCCAGAAACAAACACACAGAAAAAAACACAGTAAAAGGCCAGGAAGTCAGGTGTTAGAAACATTTCACTACTCAAACTGCAAACTGCATCATTAATCACATTAATCAGACTTACATTTTTATATATTTGATCAAGAATATAGACTATTTACATTTTACAAAAGCACATAGATAAACTCTGTGATTGCACTCTTTAGTCATTTTGTACCTAAAAGGCTAGTTGATAAGTCCTTTTAAGTCCTTTCTCAGATGTAATGAGAGGTAAACCACAGCACTTCACTATCTTGCGATCCCACCTTTCTCGACACCCCATAATGGTCCTAGTTGGATAAGCCATGGTGATAATGGATAGATGGCATCTCACTGAATGAGAAATGACCAGTTCTCTTGTTCTCATGCTGCCATTCACCAAGGCTTTCTGTCACAATGTGCATCTTATCAAACAATTTTGCTACCTTAGACTTTAGACCTTTGAACAGAACCTGAGTCAGAATTTACTGACTAATATTAACTATGTTGCTTGTTTTGCATTTTCCTCACAAAAAAGTTTGATTGTTAACTTTTTAAAAATCTTTGTTATTTGTGATATATTCAGAAAATTATTTCTGCAATTCAAGCTTTTATTTCTGTGTACAACAATGAACTTTCTGACACACATTTATCTGACAAATGTCTTTATTTAACACGGTATGAAAGCACTGGAAAAAAAACAGTAGAATTTCTGCAAGTTTCAGTCAGGCTGTGGCCAAATACAGAGTATCTCATTTGTTGTCTAATGATCTTACGGCTGCGACATCTAAGGCTCAAACAGGAATGGGAAGTTAACCTGGCCCTAGAGAAATTAGAAAAAGGTATATTACTGAAAATCAAATTTCCCAAATGACATCAATGAAGGACTCTATGAATATGCAACATGCATTAATTCCTGTGCATGTGAAGCCTTTAAAGGGTCTGTACTTGTATAAAAATCATACCTCATCAACCCCAGGGCCAGATGCATCACCACGAGGATCAGGAGGAACTGTGGCAGACTCTTTCTTTGACCCCAGTGGCCATGTCTGTGACAGAACAAAGTACAAACATGAAGCAGTAAAACAAAATGTTTTTTTTTTTTTTTTTTTTATTATTCTAATGTTTAATTTAGGTGAAATAAATAGCAGAGAACACTTACATGTTCTGTCTGTGGCTTTGGCTTGGAAGCCTGCTGAAATTAGATGATAAGCATAAACATTAGATTACAAGCTTCAAAAGTCATAGCAGAACATGCCATAAACAGTAATTAAGTAGCAGCATTGTTTTTTTTTAAATACCCATTAAACTGTCCATGAATTATATGCATGATTTGCATAAAAGTAGCAGGAAATGAGCTCTGCCATGAAACAAAATAAACTTACATAAGTTGCACTGATAAATAATTACATGTGTGAGTTGTCACCCAGCACTGAAGTGCTGATGTGCCACTGCGCTGGCATGAATTCAGCAGTTATCTGCTAAGACAGACTGACAGTGTGGTCAGTATGCCAGACAGCAGTCATTGCATACCAGCTAATGTACCCACACAGTCATGATTCATCTGCAGCTATGTTATTATCATCAAGCCTTGCCTTTGACTCATCATTGTCTGTAGGTCTTAGACTTCAAAGTAGTACAGATGCTTGGAGCAGCATTTTCCATCATTTTGGTTTGTTTTACTAGCGGCTGTTTTTGCTGAATACATCTGTGTAAAGTCAGTAGAATGAGAAGATGTGTTTGGTCTTATATCAGGTAAAAAATGTTGGTCCAGTTTTCCCTAAGATGCTTATAGTAAGAGTAGAAACATTAGAATTATTTAAGTACAAGTAACACTGCAATAGTTGTACACCCTTAATATCTGCACGTCCTTTTCCAGAGAAAACAATTTTATTATATTTATTTTAGATAGATAGACAGACAGACAGACAGACAGATAGATATTGTATTATTTAATACTGTTGGTACTTTAACCTTTTCGCTACTGTCCTTACTGCCTTGGAGCAACTGTGACCACATAACTTCTCCTGGTTTTAATAAAATATTATTATTATTAAATAATTAAATTATTATTATGAAAATATTATTCCTCAAAATGTCATTTTTCTTAAAAATGGGATTCCTTCAGTTTGTTTTTGATCATTTTACAAAGAGTGTGTGCCTTTCTGTTCTCCAGCTTGTATTTATCATGTCTGACCTGCAGAGGGAGCTGTGGTCTCTGTGTTGTTCTTTCCAGGTTCTGCTGACCGTTGTTGGGCTGCAGCCCTGCATTATTCCTCTGCTGGGGATAGCCATAAGCTGGTACAAAGTAAGGGAAACCCTGTGGACGACAGAAACAATTTAAATCTCCACTGAGCATGTAAATAACTGTATTAACTCTTGCAAAGAGGGCAGGATGTTTGATTTCATACCTGAGGCCTATGAAACTGAGGAAATCTGTAAGATGGATACTGAAACTGTGGAAACATCTGAAAATAAAAGTTTAAAAGGAATGGTTAATTCCTCATTTTTAGACGGAAAATACATTTCAGCACATCCAATCACATCACAAATCAATGATAAAAACAGAAATGTGTTTTTAGCCTGCTATATTCTACCTGCATAGGGTTTTGTGCCTGCTGAGGAATGTTAGGATTGTTGGGGTCCGGTTGAGGTCCAAGCTGCTCTTGTTGACCATTGGGGAAAAACATGGGTGTAAACTGGTTGCCCTGGTTGGGGACCAGTAGGGGTCCCTGTGGACCAAAAGGGCCTGCCACTTGAGGGTTTAAGTTCACCACCTGTGGGGTAAGCAGCACCTCAGGCTGCTGCTGCTGCAGCACAAACTGGGGCAATATTGAAGAGCCCTGCAGAAAGAGTGTCTGGTCATGTCAACGTCAATGTTTTTTTTTTTTAATGCAGATATTTTAACATTTCACTGAAGAAGGCACAGAGTTAGTCAAGGCAACAAAGAGCTGCATGGTAATTGGCATCTCATAAGCACGATGCATACCTGCGCTTGTCCCATAGCTGCAAGAGCTAATGCATTCAGTCTCAGGATCTGAATATACAAGAAGAGCAGAATTATTATGACTAATGTTGTTTCTTTAGCTGCCCAACACATAGGAAGGCTTTAGAAGCTCATTACCTCATTGCTATTGCTTGCAATAATTCCAATCTGGACCTATTGTCAAAGAAACAGTTGTCAAAACATTAAATGTGATGTTTAACACAGCATTTTATGTAGATACACTATAAAGCTATAACTTACTGGCAGAGCAAAGCTTGTCCTAAACAGACAAATCAGCAGTAGAGCAGTGTGCAGCTTCATGATGTCCTGCAGTGTGTACAGACAAACTCAGTGCAAGCACAGAAGTTTGCTGAGCATCATACAACCACATACATTTCACAAAGAATATGTCCACAGAAGCAATGAGCACCAAAAGCTCATGTTACCTTTTCTCTGGTTCTGTGTCCTCTTTCTGTGTCTGCCTCCCGACCTTCTCTGCATCACGTTTAAATTCCTCCCATCTGAGCTGATATAGTCCACCACCGACCCATCCAAACAATATGCGGTCAGTGTGACAGACATTTCTCATGGCAACAGACTCAGACACTTACAACACAGAGCAGGTAAGTGTGTAATTAGGTGTAAGTCATGTCTCTAAAGACCATGACGCGTTCTGTTTCAAGTTGTTAAAAAGAGTCCAAATAATCTCAGTTTAAAACTTTATGCAAATACAGAAATTACAAAATCACCAGAGCTGCATGTTGAGGTCATCACTGTAGCATCCAGGTGTACTGTGTACATTCTTCACTTTGGTTCTGTGATCTCTTAAAGTAAGAAAAGCTTGTGTAAAGTGTAACACTGCATTTCATAATTATTATAATTCCAAAAGGAACTTTTGCATGTCATGAGAAAAAAAAGAAAAGCAGAAAGTTTGAGCATATATTCAAACATTTGTCACATCCCACTCAGTCTGATGTTGGCATCTAATTGGTGAATCATTTGTACTAATGGTTGAGTGTACTCAGTGTTATGTTCACCAGGTTTCACTTACACCAGCCATTATACCAGTCTATTTATTTATACATTGTGCTCACTAATATTTTATTACAGTTAAAGAAGTCTTCAAATGTGCCTGGTGCAATCGCACATGTTAAAGTGTCCTTGGGAGAGATTCAGAACCCCAAACTTCCCCTCATGGACCCATTTCTGTGTGTGCACAGAATAAAAGTGGGTGTGAATATCACTTGTTTTGTAAAGAATTATATTAAAGCGCGACATAATTGCAATCCAATCCATTTGCATGGTTCAAATGGCTCCGTTTTATTCATTTGGCCACACCAGTGTGACTGTGAACAAACTTGCACAATCCTGAAAGTGAAGCAACTTGCTTGAGCTGAACCATCATCAGTTTTATGCGCACCTGTACATAATGCCAGTAACTAACACTTTTTTATGCCACACCAGCACATGTTGTGTTCTAAGTTCTGGGAATTTGCTGATAGTGCAGAGACATAACTGTCTCTGTATGTCTGTATATGCTGAAAAGCTGTAGGAGGAGCTGTTTCAGAACTGCATCATGTTTGCTGTATCATGTGTGTTCAGTCATTCTTCTTGACTTCAGTATATCTGTATTATCTTTATCAATGGAATTAGTGGCAAGTGGGTTGGTAGTCATTTTTGTTATTTTGATCTTTTTAAAAAAATCTTATTTTATATTATTTTTGATAACATTTTATGGATGTCCGCTTCACTATCTAGCATGAGTTGTAGTTTTATGAAACATATATGTCCTTTAGATGGCAGCACAGATCCACTGATGGTCTATGGCATAAAACTCATACAAGACAAATTTTATTTAGAGTATGATTCATTTTATTAGAAAGTGAACACACTGTAACAAACCACTTTAACAAAAGTAATCAATTTATGAATAATCACAGGAGTTTACTTTTATTGTTATAATATTCAATATTTCTTGTAGATTCAATTCAAAGCTAATGTTACAGTAATGGTGTCAGCTTAAATATCCTTGTTGCAGGGTGCTGCTGTTGGTGATGCAGAAGGAGCGGAAGAAGGAATCTGAGAAAATAATAAGAGAAAAAATAGTAACTTTTCTAGCAGAATATGGTTTTTACAAACTGTGAGTAACTTTTTAAAAAACTTTTTATGGTTTATTTTGCGCAGTCTCACCTGAGTGTCCACAGTACTCTTCACGGTGTTTTCTGCTTTTATAATCTGGCGCTGTGGAGTCACAGAGCAACATTTATCCAGTGTAGTTTTCATTCATATTGCACAGCCTTTGAGACAAAAGATTCATTGTTTCCTACCCTGAATCTTCCGAGAGGATCAGGCTGAACTGGAAGCTGCTGTGGAGCAGCACCAGCAGGGTTCCCCTAAACAAAAACAGGAAATGTAACATTTCTGCAAACAATAACCACTGACACACTGAAGGTAAAGGTTGATTACCATCGCAGGTTGCTGAGGAGCATTCATTGGTGCCATTTGGGGTACTCCCATGAAAGGAACCTGGTACTAGAGAAGCAAGAAAGATGATGCTCTTAAACCTGCAACAATTTTGTGTTTTTAACACCACAACAGTAAGTGCCTCACTAACCGCATTGACTGCAGGGACAGCAGGGAAAGGGTACACATTGCCGACCTGAGCTGGAACGACAAAAGCAGGAACTCGAGGAACAAACTGTGAGAAGGAAAAATAAGTGTTACTTAGATTCACTGCAAAATATCAGTGAAAAGTCATATTGTCGCTCAAACTTAAATGCAGTGGACTGACCTGAGCAAACTGGGGCTGCCCTATAACGCCTGCTCCACCGCCAGCAACAATGGGTGGATTCAGACCACCAACCAGCATCCCGGGGTTTGCTCCATTTAAGAGTCCTCCATTTAAGAGTCCTCCATTCAACATCCCTGCATTCATAGCTGCCAGCAGCCTTGCAGTCTGCATGGAGCAGGAAAAAGACTTATTACCTGTGGCCTAATTTCGATTATTGTGCAAAGTATGCATACATCCATAGTCTGACTGTATCTTACCTTGCCTGCATTGACCTGAAATAAATTTAGATGAGATTTACACATTAGTATAGATATATACACATATGGATAGATGGATAGATAGATTGACTACTCACATAGCTGAGGGTTGCTACAAATGCTGCGAAGAGAAAAAGCTTCATTTTGCACCTTGAATCGTGTAAAAACACACAGACCTTGTACGTTTTTGCTCTGGCTTCAACTGTTATGTGCCCAGAAAGCTGACAGTAACTCTCTGTTTCAAAGACACCTTTTATCAGTCAAAGAGATTATTATGAGCCAATTAGAGAGGAGAACACTGCCTTATTCACATGCTATATTTGTCACCTGTGTGTCATGGGAAGTTGCAATATGGCATCTATGGTTTCTCTACAATACAAGATTTAAAGAAATGTAATGCAGCAAAGTCCCTGTTTTCAAAGAAACTTCAGCCAGTTGACACACTGACATTGTTCTTGACAGAGCTGAGTGACCACAAAAAAATAACGCAGTGATTCATTGTCGCGGAAAGGGTTTCTAGAGGCTTCTGGAAGCTGACTTAAACCCAGCATGGACCTCGTTAATGTTGTGGGTTGTGGTTACAAGAGGCAAACAACTGACATCATAGTCATCAAGAGCTTTTGTAGATCACACTGTAAAAAAATAGGTGCATGTGTGTGCTTGTGTTCAGGCTTTACCCCGTTAAGCCTGAACAACAACATAATTGCCAGAAAATTCTAATTGTTTCTTAAACTAGAGTGTTTATTGAACCTTCTTTTTATTTTGAAAGAAATAAAATATCAATTTGGATGTATGAGTTTTAATTTGTATCATTTTTTGTGCAATTTGTTGGTCACAGTTGATGTATTTTAAGCAAAAAGAAGTACAAATTTGGGTTTAAGGATTGTTTTTTTTTAAATCACGCTGACGATGTAGAGGTATCAGAACCACATGTATCTAAAAGAATATGTTATAGTGTTAAATTTAATCCAACATTTCACCTTTACTGTGTCAAGCTGCATGCAGACTGTTTATGAGAAGATGTTTGTGACTTCATGAAAACACCCGGGCCTAAATGGCATCTTGTGATTTGATTCATGTCTAGCGGTATAAATGGCATGTTGCCTGCTGCTGTTTTATAATTAAAAGTTAAAATAAGTGCCTCAGACATGGCTGGGTGCCTTACTGTAATTTGTGATGACTTTATAACAGTGACAAACTTTTTATTTGCCCACCCACACACCACACTCTCAACCAATGTACACACTCACTCACAGTGACCCTCGGGAAATCAGTTAATCAGTAATAAAATTCTGAAATTTAACAAGAAAATGAAAACAAAAAGCCTATAGCTTGTTTCATGAGCACATGTTCAGAGCTATTACATACATTACTGTTTGGTTGGATGGTTACTTTGTCATATACCGAAGTAGTCTGGGAATGTTTTTCCTTTTGCTGACTCTGCAGCTGACAGCAGACCAGGTAAACACCCTCTGTGGAAGTTTGGTCTGGAGCTAATTACACACTGTCATGCAGTTACAATTAAGAAACTATTTTTTTCTGTTTTCAGTTTTAAAGGACAAAAGGTTCTCTCTAATGCAAATGCAGTTGTTCATCTATATTATTTTAGGTAGTTTTTTTCCAAAAGAAAACAAGCTGTACCAGGAATTTCATGCTGATGTGACGGATTTATGGTTTTCAAATGTTCAAGAGAGACCATCTGGAAGTAACTTGAAGCCGTGTATTGTAAACAGAAGGCTGTGTGTATTTTTATCAGCCTCTTATATGAAAATAACAGCCATCAGATGGAGGCACACCCATGACCCTGCTGAATTTATTCAGTGTTTTGTTCAAGACAGACTTGACAGATTTGTTTTGTGCAATAGGAGTTCAATCATTTATTGGTCATTAGTTACAGTGATCTACAACAGTAAAGTGTCAACAGGTATTAAGGAGAACCACAATCAGTGTTTAGCAATGAATTGGTGAAAAATGCTTCGTCTCATTCCACTTGCTTCTCCTCAGTATCTACCCCAGAGCATTCTTCCTCATCTTCAGCTGGCGTAGTCTTCACCACCGGAGACTGCGTCCTCCTGAGGCGAGCTGCGACTGACCGTCGAAACCTCAGCTTGCCGCTCGGCTTTGCAGCACCAACAACACCGCCCAAGGGTTGTGGGATATTTTGCCCGACTGCTGACATCAGCTGCACTTGGCCAGGGGTCAACACGACACTCTGAGGCCCTCCGCCGACATTTCTCTGTGGCTGCACTGCAAACAGCCCACCTCCAGCTTGCTGCGTCCCTGGCCCTTGCAGATTCATGGTGGCTCCTTCTGCCTGGCCCATGAGAAAAGCTCCACCTTTTGGGAGAACTGCAACTGGAATTAGTTGTTGCGGTGGAGCCTGACCTACAGGGTTCCCAAGTGGCTGGATAAACAAAGTATTACCAACTTGGACTACTTGTGCCACAAAGGGCTGACCAGTCAGTGGAACCCCATTTTGAGCCCCAGCGTTTGCACCGTTGGCAGCTCCTGGTCCTCCATTGTTGTTCACTCCCCTATTGGCAAGTGCCTCAGCACTCCCTGAAGACACACCACTCTCCACCACGAGGGCCAGGCTCTGAAAGATAACCCACAGCATGCAGTACATGTTTTAGCTCAGTGCAAGCAGCAGATGATCAGCAGGTGAAGCGCCGCTTCTTTCTTTACTTATATAGAAGGCGTCAGACTCGGCGATCACCAGAAAAGGTCCAATGAGAATGCTTTATCTCATAAAAACGAGATGCCGTAATCATCATGACCAAGCAGCAGGTTATTTTTTGCTTTGTCGCGTTACAGCAGGCCATTATTTAGGATCAAGCGGCAAACCAAAATCAACTACCAGTGACTTGCATTCTTAAAAACCATTGTTGAAGAGCTATTCATCTCATGAAGTAACACAAACACACACAAAAAAGAAAAGGAATGAAGAAAAGATATCAGAACATGAAATGATATTTACCAGAGTCTTTTTGTAGGAGACTTTATTTCAGCACAAACATCAATAAGCAACAGAGTTTATTGAAATATTCTGAAATTGTGAACTTCTTTGCTGTCTATTGCCTTTAGTTAGCAGTGTAAGGAAACATAATATATGAGGACAAACATGTACACATTTGCTACTAAGTTAGCCAATACAGGTGCTATTTTACATTTGCTAGTATCAAACAGGAATCTGCAATTGTCTGCTACTAATTGTGGTACTACCTGGCACTGTGTACTGCACAGTGTTTTTTCTACCATCAAGCTGCAATAACTTTGCCCCAGTTTGGAGTGCATTGTAGTAAAGATTTTGAACGCAGCCAGCAAAAAAATAACTACTTCTTTCTTCTAATAGACGGTTCTAGCAGCTCAGTCTAAATTACAGATCAGTGATTTAAATGTCCATGCTTAGCCTTACACAAAGCTTTGTTTATAGCGGGAGGTAACATGGGTTTGTTTCATCTGTACTTGTCAGAGTGTGTACTGTATCATTTTGAATAGACAGAACTTCAACAGCCAGATGTTCAAGCTACAACACTGGAGCAGCTTTTGCAAGCTTATGTAGTAGATGAGGAACAAAGTGAAGCTCAGAAAAGCAGGTTGGCATCCATGTCCTCTGCAGAGAGACAAGTTACAAAGAGTTAGAGTTTGCATTTAAATTATCAACTAACAGTACCAGAAAACATCAAATTCTGAACATATTTTAGAGCAACATGCTGGGTTTTCATCTTAAATCTTGGAAGATATATTCAGATTGAAGCATCACATTTCTGAAACCTCTACTATCTATGCAATTATATAGGCCTTGACTATGAACGTACTGCATCATTTATGGGAAGGTTTCTCACAAATATAAGAAACGATGAACCTCTCACCATTCCTGATATCAAAACAGGTGATCCACTCCTTAAATGATACCAGTTTGTCTTTGTCAGCATCGCACTCCTGAAAGAAGCGAGAGGTGCAGTGCTCCATTGGCACCAGGGGGACCCTGAGCGGGGCCAGCTCTGAGTGGGACAAAAACCTGTAGAGTAAAAAGAACTGTTTTTGATCACTGTGAGCAAACAGAGTGCGCAGGATGACTGAGTAAGTGTTTAGTTATTGTTGAGTGGCCCTCAATTGTTAGTTATTGTACTAGTTATTTTTATTGTTGTTACAGGTCATTGAAGCCTTCAGACCAAAAATCGTTTGTGGGTCCTTGTTCTGGACTGAAAACTAAAGGACACCACTACATTTGAGATCTGTGCATGAAACTTTTAAAGAGCAGCTCACAGCATATTTTTATAAGCTTGCTTTTAACTAGTAGATATTATTAATGTGTTTTAATAGTTGTGTTTTTGTTTGTTGATTATCCTTGTGAAGCACTTTGCTATTCTTATCTAGACAGGTGCTATATGAATACTTTTGATTTGCTTTTGCTTACTTGTTACAGTTATTTTTGCCTATTTGATTTTTCCTCAGAAGTCAATGTGCCATATAATTGCATTAGCAATAAATTTAATAACGCTTTATATTAACAGTTGCTGCGCTGAGCGGGCAGCTCCTGAAGCATTTGAAGTGTCGGAATGTGGAAATTTCAACATCGTTTGAAAAAACTGACAGCTAGCAACGTCCCTCTCACCAGTAGGCTAAGTGATTTTTAGCCAATTACAAGTTGAATCTGGTAGTTGGGGTTGTTAGCTAACCAGTACAACTAATGTGTCTATGTGAGCTAATTTGTGATGTGCACCGCTGGCCCGGCCATTTATTTTTTAATGCACCTTCTCAGATTAATTCACTGTGTGTCGTGCCCAGGGCTGGACTGGGACAAAAAATCAGCCCGGGCATTTTGACTAGAGACCGGCCCACCAGGTATTATAGGAAAAGCCATAAAGCCTTTGAATGAAAACAAACGCTGGCCAGTCCAGCTATGGTCGTGCCATCAGTTAACCCTTCCCAGGGTTGCCGACTCCTGGCGTAGTGGTTTACACATTCACCTGACATGTTCAAGGTCTCTGGTTAGAGACCAGGAAGAGGCGCAAATGCCTTTTGGTGTTGAAACAGGAAGGGTATCTGGTGGAAAAAGCTTCCAAATCAAGTTTGTGATTAAGGATTTGTTTTTTACAGCCTGTCGGTCATCTATGACATATATATCTTTCAATAACCAATAACTCCCCTATCTAGCTAGCTTTTTTAAAAAGAAGATACTGCTATGCAAAACCAGTGTATAAAAATGTACCTATCAGATGGGTGCTGGTCCAGCTGAGCAAACTGCCAGTGTACTGGGTAGATGTACATGTTATAGTTCTTCTCAAAGTCCTGTGCGAGAAGCTCAACAGAGTGATTGCCTGCATGAAGGCGCCTCTCACTCTCAAAGATTTTCTTCACCTGAAGAATACAGGAGACCACACTTTGGCTGGTTTCAGTCACTTAAACACAGTAGTTGTAAAGAGCTGTTGGAGTAGTAAGCCTTACTCTGAAACGCTGTTTAGGAGTGAGAAAGCCAGGAGTTATGGAGTCATGTTCGTAGAGCTGGAGCAGCACGTTTTTGAGCCAATCTCTCATTCGTAGAGGAAACTGCACCCGCTCAGTGTCCACACATGGAGGTATCACTGAGACAGAGAGGACAGAAAAAAAAGCATCAGATATTTTAATTAGTTCTTTCTTCACCATACTAAATTATACAGTTTGTACAGTGTTTAAATACAGTCTCACATTTGCATGGTCCAGTGTAGTCTAGGTGAAGTCTGTGTCCTTTCTTAGTGCCCTCTAAGTTGCATTTAGTAGCAAAGAGTTCACATGATGTGTCATAGGTTTTGTTGTCTGTCCCACAAACCTAAACAAAAACATTTGTGTTTAAATAAATGAAGAGAGAAGATCAACTTTTAGCCACTGTCCTCGAAGAGTTTATGCAGGCAGGACTTGTGAGGAAAGGAAGACACAATACAAAGATAAAATTCCATATTTGTGGTTTACAGCTCACCTTCAGCCTACTATCAGACCCTTGACCTTCTCACAACAAGCAATCTGGGTCAAATAATATGAAAAGAAAACCTGCTTGCTCACCATAACAGGCAGGCTAGTTAGAGCTAATATTAAAACAAAAGTATTCTCTGCTTTGTCTTTCAATCAAGTCAAAATGCCCACAATGACATCTGTACTTTTTCCTTTTTCTCCTCAATAAACAATATGAAAGCTTCACAAGGCTGCTGCAGACAAGTGTGTCACAACCACAGAGCATCACATAAAATGTATGAGCATAAATGAATAACAATATGTAAGTGTGACATTTCTTTTATAGGCATCAACATACTTACATAGTCAAACTCATTCACACTGGGAGGGCACTCTGACGGTTCTTGACACACACACCCTGGCTTATTGTCCGCATCAAGTTTGCATGTTTTTCCACGTTTGCAACGGAAGTTTTCACATGGATCTGGAAGAAAACGCAAACACCGGTTGGATCTCTGGCCCATAATTCACCTGATTTCTAGAATCAGTGAGATAAATTATTTATTTTCTTAGCTTGTTTTAAAGTTTTTCTTGCAATAGAGCCCAGTACGCTACAATAAGCTCACATCATCCTCTACATTCCTTTAGTATAGAGTTGGTATAGCGATTAAATTCGACTTGATCTCTCTTATTCACTTTTAAGCCTGCAGAGCTGTGTTTTGATAGTGACTGTGAAGCAGAGAGGCACTATTCATGCGGAAGTTTAAGCAAAATGATTCAGTCAGCAGTTTCCCCATGTGAGACTATTCGGATGGTGTATTAGTCAGTATATAGTGAATGCTGCTGCTGACCAGACACTCAGCAGTTCTATACTGTAAGAATAACACGTTATATGAACGATAACGTTAAATTTAAAACAATGTTAAACTTCCTTGAAGTGGAGCCTTTCACCAGCCTGTATTATTTACATTTATTTCTATCTTGTGTTAAATTAGAGATGTTGTTAATTCCTTTTATCTTTATCATATCATGATAAAGATAAAATATCATATCATCTTTTGCTTACATAACTGTCAACTTACAGAAAATATCTGGCTTTACTAATGGACCTAGAAATACCAGTAATCATGTCACAGAAGGCTAAGGAGGAAGCCTTCAACAGAAACAATCAACAGAAAAAGAAATAACCAGTAGGGGTTTCTGGGAGTTGTATGTCTCCACCAAGAGAGGGCCTGGACCTTGGGTACAGTTCGGCTGCGGCTCTTATCTGCACCGGATTCACACCAACTAAAGGACCCTGGGAAAGTACAAAAAGACATGTAAAGGCAGACTCATGCATGTATAAAATCCTTCTCCTTTTCCTCCTCCTAGTACTAATAATATTAGTAATAACGTGAAGGTACTATAGAAAGAGGAAAAATAAAGGTCAAGTTGCCCCAATGAAAACTGCAATATCAGCTTTTTTTGTAAACTTTGGGCTGATTTGTGCTGCTAAATGTTGCCAATGCTGTCAAAGGTTAGCCGTAAACTTGCCGAGAGCTTTAAAAGCCTTAAACTTGCAAGTGAAATCTTCTTCTTTTACTTGCACTGCACTGATCTCTAGCAGGCTAATTAGCTGGGTCAGTTTCACAAATGAAAAAAGCCCACTGACAGGGAGATATATCTCCTTTAACCACTTCAAGATATTCACAGGTGATTTGTAGATGCAGTGTGCAGGGCAGATTATGTCCTCTGTTACCTCCTTACCAAGGAAATTACTCCAGCTTAAACTCAATAATTAATTTTAACTATCAGTTCTTAAAACATTTTCACTGTGGGCTGATTTTAAAATGGCACCAAGAGGGTTTGAGTCTAAACTTGTCTTCCTCTCTTTCTCTTTCCCTGCTTTCCTGTCTTTCTATCTTTATCCAATGATGCCTAAAAGGCCAAAATAATAATGATAATCTACTGTAAAGAAAGAAAATATAGGTAATATAAGCATTACCCATTTTCCTGCCCTTCTCCTCTTTGTCTTTTGGTCTGTATTGTCAGTGCTGCTGCTCTCAGACTCAGGATCCTGTCGGCCCTCTTCTTGTCCGGGTTGTGTTTCCTCCCTGTCCGGAGAGTGCTTCCTTGACCTTTGGTTTTTCTTTTGCTTCCTCGTTTTCCCCTTAGTGTGACTTCCACCCACATTCTTACTCTTCTCTCCCTCCTTTCCAGATAGAGTAGCCCTCAATTCAAGCTCTGCATCGCCCTTTGGCTCTGGATGATCCACATTTGCTTCAGGTTCTTTCTTGGCGCTTACGTCTTCGTCTGAGGAATCTTTGTCCTGTGTCTGATCAGACACCTCCTCACTGTGTGCTGCCTCTGTGTTTTGCATGCCTTGTTCATAGTCATCAGCGATATTGGCCATTTCTTTCTCACTGGTTTCTTTCTCTCTGATGTCTGTTTTTGAAGTAGGCTTGGCGTCATCAGAGTGGGTTTTGTCGTTAGCTGATGCAGTCTGTAGAGGTTGTAGGAGGCTACTATCAGCAGCATAGTCCAGATTGATTGGAATCACTGATTCTGTGCTGCCATCTTCCTCTAGCAGTGCTTCAGTAGGCTCTTCCTTCCTTTCTGAATGAGTCATCTTCTGCACCTTCTCCTCTATCACATCTTCCACACTGTCTTCTTTCGCTTCTTCCTCATCCAGCAAATGTTTCTTTGTCTCTGAATTCTCATCCAACTTCTCCTGATCCTCAGCGACCTCAACCACCTCACTAGACTCAACCTTGGCTTTGTCAGCTTCTACTTCTTCCTCCTCCAGCTCTCTTACTTCAGCTTCATCTTCCTCTTCAGCCTCTTTCGTCAGGAGGTCTACCAGTTCTTCTTCACTCAACAGAACTGCAGTGCTTTTCTCTCGCTTTTCAGCCCTCTCTCCATCTTCCTTGTTAGCGTTGTCTTCGGAACTCAGTTCCTCATCTTCCTGCTCCTGGCTGCTGGCCTCAAATGTGACTAGAGTGGGTAAGATCTTTGGCTTATTGGCTTCCACTGTGATAGCATCCTGAAGCAGGAGAAAAGGAAAATTATTTATCGACTGTATAAAATGACACGATACATTTAGTATTAGAATTTAAAACTCTAGATGAAGAAGATGTTACTGTACCTTTTCTTTGGTTGTGTGCAAACTCTTATGCAACCCATGATGCTTTCCATGAGGTTTACTTTTCACCTTAAGATAATGAGAAACATCTGTAATATTTATTGTATGGTGAACACATTATCATATTGTCTTTGATCATTTTTACTCATTGATTTAAGAAGAAGAATATCTTTACTACTCACAGACAGAGCAAATGTTGCTGCCAGTAAGCAAAGGAATACTAAGCAGGCCTTCATACCTGTAAGATCAAAGTGAATCATTTAAACCTTGGATAAATTGTCTAAAAATGGATAACATGTAAGTTTTTAGATTTTGAAACCACTACAGAATTGAATATTTCAGAAAAATATTACACTAAAGGCTAAAAAGCTGTTCATAAGCTATCAATACATTCTACTCTGGCTTCTCCATTTTCACAACAAAGATGTGAACTTGGCACATCTTTCAAAGTGGAAACAACTGAATGCATCTGTATGCTGCCAGCACATTCATGACGAGCAGAGCTGTGGGCCCAGCCTCCACTATCGCCAAGGTTACAGGCCTCTGATATGCACCTCGCTCTCAAAAGTCACATTCAGAGCTAAAGTAAACACCCGAAGCTACCAGACTGGAAAAATTTGACTAAGTCCACAAACTTTTTGTGTCTCTGGAGCCCAACGACAAAGATATTAATGGGTCTGTCTGGTAAAATAGCTCTCAGCACAGTTCTCAGATGTGAAAGTAATGCTGGGTGTGTACACACCAAAGCAATAAATGAATCTTTATACTTTGAATAATTTAAAAGTCACCAAAGACACTATTATAACTACTCTATTACATGATTGCTCCATCTTTAATAAAAATTAATAGACATTATAAAAACATTTAGATATGATATTTCTCTAAATTATATGCACCAAATTAGTACTTCCAAATATGGAGCACATATTAAATAGTGCCACCACTTTCTACAAAAGTATCAAAGCATCGGCATCAATAGCTCACCAGCATAAAGCTGTGGCCCTAAGTAATCAAGCCAGCAGTCGCCACATACAGCAAGCAATAGTTTAAATGCAGTAACTAGTTAGTGAACAAGATGAATGTCAAACGCACATTACTGTTTTGCTATATATAAATGGAGTTGCAAAGCACTATTAATTCTAGCTATTTTATTGGTTCTTTTATTGCTGTAATTTATTGCTCATTTTGTCTGAAAAGAGGTCTGTCTTTTAAAGGAGACATTGAGCCTCAGTAGAACTACCTGTATAAATAAAGGTAAAATAAATGAGAAATGAAACTCTGTGTGTCACAGAAATTAGGATTTTACCTGAGGCTGGCAGTCGCAAGAAAAAGTATCCCGCAAAAACAGCAGCGTGCCTGTGCTGAACCTGTGAAGATGTCCTTTTGTATTCAAGACAGTGCACACTCTGTCCACACAAACTAAGCATTCAACACACACACACACACACACACACACACACACACACATACAGGTTTTTTTTTCAGGGTTTAGGATGCCTCTGCTAACTTTGGGAGGGCCTTTGGGAAACAGAGATAAAGAGAGAGGCGGACAAAGGGATCCCACTCCCACACTGAGCTTCTGTTGGGCGATATACTTCAAAAGAATTGTGTGTCTGTTTCCCAAAAAATGAAAATAAGTTTTAAAAAGAACGCTCCAGGGTTCATAACAGATTTTGACAGGTTTCATTTTTGTTACTGAAGATAATTTGCATGCATGTATAGAGGAGTTCAGGAGAGTGGGGCAACAGAGTCTACAGCCATCTGTTAAACACTACTCTGTTATGGTTTGGGCAGCATTTCAGCCAGTGGTGTTGGGGATCTTGTAAAAATTTATTTATTTACAAGCACAGAAAAGTGCTGTCAGATTTTGATCAACCATCCAATACCATCTGGTTCATTTTTCAGTAAATGATCCCAAAAGCACTACTGCAGTAAAAGCATATCTGTATAGACAAACTGTAGAACACTGGACATATGGATTGTTCTCCCCAGAACCCAGACCTCAACATTACTGAAGCAGTGTGAGCTCATCCTGACAGAGAACAGAACAAAAGGCAGCCAACATCAAATAAAGAGCTTTGAATGTTCTTCATGAAGCCTGGAGTACTATTCCCAAAGACTGCTTAAAGAAATGACAAGAAAGGTTGTCTAAGAGAGTTTCGGCTCTTTTGAGGAATAAAGAGGGTCAAACCAAATATTGACTTTAAAGCTTTTTAGAATTGTACAGACTCTGTTTTTGCAATGATTTTATCACCTACTTAAAAGCAGCACCAGTACAGGGCTTGGCATGATGCTGATCCTGAGAGAAGGGCTTCATATTCATTTGTGTCCTGTCAGAAATATTTCTTTGTTTGTCAGCTGTATTCATCCTTGATGACACCAACAGAAAATCCATTATCAAACTCAAACTTCAGATTTCCATATCAGTTAGACAGAAAACTTCAAATCCCTGGTGAATAGACTCAATTAACCAGGGGTGGGAAACTCCAGGCCTTGAGGGCCGATGACCTGCAGGTTTTAGATGTGTTCTTGATCCAACACAGCTGATTTAAACGGCTAAATGACCTCCTCAGCATGTCTTAAAGTTCTCCAGAGGCCTAGTAATAAATTAATCATTTGATTCCGGTGTCTTGACCCAGGGTGATATCTAAAACCTGCAGGACACCGGCCCTTGAGGCCTAGAATCCTCCACCCCTGCAATAAACAAACACGTTTGTTCAGATGTGTAGTATTTCTTCGTTGACACCGTTCATTTGTAGACACAAAAAAAAAGTACTATGGGCAGGTTGTTTATGGCAGAATGAACCCAGTCCAAACCAACATGACCACATTGTTTTAGGACAGAAACAATACGTACTTTTGGCCACTAGATGTCACAAAAACTAAAGTCTGTACTCTTAAAGCGGCTAAGAAACTGCAGTATAATGGAGGGTAAATGATGAGAGTAGCAAGGACATGACAAAATTGCTCAAAAACTGCAGTTTTACCTTAATTAATTGATATACAAAGAATCAACACACCAGCTTTAAACACAAGCCTCTTCATTGAAAAAAATTCACTGCTTTTCAAATTCAAATTCAAATTTTATTTGTCACATACACAGTCATACACAGTATGATATGCAGTGAAATGCTTACACAACTGCTCGTGACCTAAAGAAAAAAAAGGCTATGAATAGGATAGGAAATAAATATGAAAATTAAAAAGGGTAAATTTAACTAGGATGGAATAAAGTAAAATATAAAAATTAAAGTTAAAAATGAAATAACTGTACAACAACAAATTAGAATGAAGGGTAAATTTAACTGGGAAAGAATAAGATAAAATATATAAATTAAAGTTGAAAATAAAATAACTGTACAACAAAATACACAATACACAAATACACAGTATAGAAATATATAAGAATGTATGAAGAAATATAAATATATATATACAATAACAGCAGCTGTACAGTATTAAGTGGAAATGAAGAAATATAATGTCCAGTGTTGTGCAATCCACATTCGTAAGTGTCTTTTGCAGTGCAAATATGTTTAAAGTGATTTAGTGATGAAGTGATTCGATTAGATGACCACACATCTAATCGAATTAGTGTAAGCAAAGTCCAGAATGTCCAGTGTGTGTGTAAGAACCATATGTGTGGGTCAGTACTGTGTGGTGGTGTGATTGAGAGACCGTATCGCCTGCGGGAAGAAGCTTCTCCTCAGTCTCTCTGTGTTGCTCTTCAGGGAGCGCTCCCTGAAGACCGCTTTGTAACATTGTTCATCAAAGCTGGGAAGTACAAGCTTTGATTTATATTACATAATGTTGTAAATCAATCAGTCAATTCCACGAGGCATTGATGGAAAGATGCTATCTTATTTTATACAATGCAGAGTAAAAAAAATACACGATGTGGCATCAATCATGGTGTTGTTTTTAGTAAAATCATATTTCACTATTCATCACTAACTTGCATTACTGCACTGTTTTCCCTTAATTAGCAACTAATTCAAACATATTTAGGCAAAAAAAAATAGAAGAAAATGATTACACTGCACGCAATCTCAAGGATCACACTGGCGATGCACCAGTCTGACAAATGCCTAGTTTCATTAAGAATATTAATACCACAGATGCATCCAACGCCTGTCTGACAAAGATAATTACATTATTAAACCTTAAGTAACGTTAAGGTGAACGTGCAGACACTGTTGACTGTCTGCGTATCACAACAAGCATCAATCATCTCCTCCTCCACTCCTACCCTGTGGTTTTGGTGGAGAGCGCTGGACTGGTGAACATTCAGTCTAATTACAGGTTTCTTTTGCTTAGCTGAAATCCAAAGTGAGGTTAAACAAGGAATTCTGTAAGCTTATTTTGGGCCTGGCCATATAAGTATATCCAGGAAGCGATTATATGCCACAGGATGGAAATATATATAGAAGCCTTTACTTGTACATACTGTACATGCTTAATGTTCCAAAAACACAATTTCCAATAACATCGTTTAGCAGTGAAGGCAAAATATGATTTGTTTTTGTTTTAATAGACTGAATTAATATTGTACTTTGTCACAGTGTGCGTGTATATGTGTGGGCGTGTGTGTGTATCTGAAGTTAATCCATTTATGTGAAGTTGCCACATGTTTTTATAAAAGGCAGTGTTTAATTTTCTCAATTTAAACCAACCTCATATTGAAAACTTTATAGCCCTCGCACTTGTACTACTTGTAACCTGTTCCATGTAATCCATCATCTGACAAAAACAAAATTCCAAATAGAAAGGGAAGGAGGGGAAAAGAAAAAAAGTTTCACCGGAAACAAGCATGAAACTGTCTAGCCCTCTTTTCCTCTCTGAGTGGGTGAGTTTATTTTTTCAACAGGCCACAAACCCTATAGTTTAGTGAGCTAAATTATATTTCACTAAAGATGTGAGAGGGGGTGTAGGAAATTTTGTGACTGGATAAAAGAGCACACAGTGTCTATGTGTGTGTGTGTGTGTGTGTACAATCATCATCACGCCACTGTGTGTTTTCTGAACTCCCTCTCCGGAACAAATACACCTTCGCATGACGACAAAAAAGACACATCCGGAAGGAAGTGATGCAATCACCTTAAATGAGAATACTTATATACAGTAGTCCTTGGAGTTCCCTCCAGCATATCCACACATCGTGATTTTACTTCAACTGCAAGCTTCCATTCGAGGTTCAGGACAGACTCCGGATTCTCCTGTTTGCTGCCTTATAGACTAAACGAGGAGCACCAGCTGCATCTTTTTTTATTATCTCTGAAACTGAGGTAGAGTAAATGATTATGTAGTATTATTATTATTACTTTTGATCACAACTCTTACTTTAGTGATCACAACTTTGAAAGTTTTGAATTGTCGGTTTGGTTTGTAGTAACTTAACATCTAGAAGTTTAAACCCAAGAGCAAATGGATGTGACCCTATTTTGGGGGGAGTTTCTTTTGCTAATGCACCATAGTAGTTACTCTTACACTGAACTGAACTTAATGAGAATGATAATTACATACTTTTTTTTTTTACAGAATGAAGGTTCCCATCATTACATTTTGCCTGATTGGAGCAGTCTTTTCCAACCCGGTGAGTATGAAAGCAGAAAACAAAAATCAATTATTAAAAAGGTCTCAATTTTGAAAGATTTTTTCACCGTAAATTTTTTTTACATAACTTTCAGATAGACGAAATATTCTCCGATCTACCATGCTGTGTATTTTTGTTTATTTGAAAGTATTACTGAGGTTCAAGGACACAGTTACAACAAAAAAATCAATAATACTAAGTACAAATAAGCATAATATTACTTGCTATTAGTAAAATAATAGGTCACATGGAACTAAGGCATGTCATAACTATATGTATTTTTAGAAATAATAATAATAATAATAATAATAATAATAATAATAATAATAATGATCATAACAATAATGATAATAATAATAAAGTGTCCGTTAAATAACCATCTGTTCCATTTTTATTCTGACAGATTTTACACACTGTTGTTTCAGTATCAAGCGAGGTTGCATCAAACTCAGTAAGTAGCATTTTCTAATCACAAATCATTTTTTAATATTTTTTCCCAAATGCTAAATCACAGTTGTATTAGACCTTGTTTCTGGTACTGGGAAAGAGAGAGAAAAAAGAAAGTAAATAATTCCACAATAATTCAAAGTTTAACTTAATAATTTAAAATTTCAAGTTTTGTTTTTATTTATAGATGTTTAAATTAGTAAGTTTAAATTTTGGCAATGATTTTCTTTTCATATATTTGAGCTTCTATACGTTTGAGTATATTTCAGGAACTATACCTAAACTACTAAACTATATAGTCTGCCTGCAGTAAAGCTGAATTCCTTGAAGACAGTCAGCAGGAAAAGCTAACAATGGGCGTGGGTACTGGAAGTTTCTCCAGACCTCAAGATGATTCCCATTTCAGAAACTATTGTTTACTATACTTTATGTCTGCTTCCATTCCGGCAGTAATAGCTTGCCCAAGCAAGGGTTGACAAGAATGAAATCTTAAATGAATGATGATTGTTGATGCGGCAGTTAAAGCATATAATTAAAATACATTTTTCTCTGTGCTTACTTTGTTTTGTTTACCCAGACTGAAAGTGTGTCTGTTTCACAATCGTCTGAAAATGACACCTCAGAGCTTCAGGTAATGTGTACATTTATTTCAGTAATGAGTAAATGGTTATTTTTCCTGACTCTTTCCATCACATTTGATTGCTGAGTTTCATCAATGTGACTCTTTGTTCCTGCCTGTGTTGCAGAGCACAGAGGAAAACACCTCAAATCAGGTGAGTTATTTTGGTTCTCAAATGTCTTCAGAAAACCTTTATCCTAACACACAGATCAAAATCATTTTTCTGTTTACTGAAAATGTCTCTGTTTTTTTTTTTATACAGAGCTCAGAGTCAGAATCATTAGAATCCACAGAGAACACATTGGAGGACACATCAGAGGACACATCAGAGGACACTTCAGAGGACACTTCAGAGGACACATCAGAGGACACGGTGGGTCCTATTAGCAATCCGTGTAATATTTTACTGTTATCCTTCAACAAGGTTGCTATTTCCATTTCATAATCTTTAAAGCATTAGCAAATTGTTAGGGTTTCTGGGTGTAACCTTGAATATCAGATGATACAAATGAATAAACCTGGAATAAAATTGATATTTGCCTCCTTAAATGGGTTTCATTTCCACAAACAGACTTCCGAAGAGAGTGACAGTCAGTCGGATGAGGTAAGATGAAGTAAAACAACTTCTTTTACTTACTGTATTATGTGTAGTACAGAATTACACTGTTTCTTCACCTCTCTTCCACAGATGGACTCCATGCTTGACACCAAAGATGATAGTATGGGCAGTGAAGAGAATGTCAGAAAGGTGCGATAAATCTTTTACGTTATCAAATTATTTCATTTAACCTGCTTAAGTAGAGGTTACAGTTAGTTAACACAGTGCTCTCTTTATTCACCGCTTTAGAGCCTGGTGCGAGTGTTTACAAATACAGTGAAAGCCCTTAGCGCAGAGGACAGCAATGAGCTGCCCAACACAAACCTGCTGGTGAACCCCACAGACAGCAGTGACAGCACTAGTGACAGCATAGAAACCACAACTGCCACCAATGACAGCAATGAAAGCAAAGACAGCTCCAGCAGCGAGAGCAGTGAGAGCAACGAGACCAAAGACAGCAGCGACAGCAGTGACACCAGCATGAGTACAGAGGACAGCAATGCCAGTGACAGCACCGAGCTGAAACAACTGAAAGCCAGGGACTGTGTGAATGGCACTCAGAGCTGCGAAAGTGAGGAGGAGCGTTTCTTCCAGAGTGTAGGAGATGATGCTCATTTCTCAGTGGATAATCTGATGGTGCCAGATGAGGATGACAGGGAGTTAATGCTGCGAAGATGATGACATGCTCTTGTGCAGCCTCTCATTTCCCTCTATGAACTCTAGCACTATGACTAGCCTGAACACTTCAGGATGATAGATTTTGTTTTATAGATTGCTTTATGTTTATAATGACATAATGCTACATGCAGCTGATTTTTGTGTGAAAATTATCGAGGTGATATTATCCTAAGTGTTTACTTTGTTTTTATAATAATAAATAAATAATATAATCATGGACTTGGGGCTTGTGGTGTGTTGGCATACCATTTTAATCAAGGATTTATCCATCATGCAATTTTATAACTGGCCATAAAACTGTACTCTCTACTTTTTAAAATACTTAGAAAATTATAGTAAAATACATATAATAACTGCCTTGCAAATTCATATTTTGCATGCACATTATGTAGCTTTTAAAATTACTAGAGATGGCACGATACCACTTTTTATTGTCCGATACCGATTCCGATATCATAAATTTGGATATCTGCCGATACCAATATGAATCCGATATAGCGTATTTTGTAATCAATAAAACTGTTTTTATAAATATTTTGCTGCATTTTGTATAAGTTCATACTCAAGTTTTAAAAAACGAGACTGAAGCTATTCTGTTATACCTGTATGCAAAAAATACACTCCACCCAAAACATTTTATAGTTCAGCAACACAGATCACTCTAATAAATTTAAACCTACACCATCCTCCCTATTCTGGTATTTTAAAGTACTTACCTACCTCACTAATAGGGTTGCCAACTCCCAGCAAAAATATTAGGGAACCACCCCCCACCCTTAATCAATGTAATCAACTTTAATTTAATGCAAGTGTAAAACAAATGCACAGAAATCAATTATTTTTCTACAATAATTAAATAGATTCAACATCTTTCTTCAACAGAATTGCACAGACTGCACAGATGGTACCTTCCCAAAGGAAAAAGTACTATAGCTTACTAGGGTAGATTTATTAGTTACTATATACAATAATGGATTTCTATACATTTAATCAGATGACCACTTTTGTTGTAAGATTCGGATAATTATTTATTCAAAGTTTTTAAATGACATAACAAAGAAAAATATTTCTTTGTGCCCCCCTTTCCCTGCTAATGCCCAACCTGGCCCTGACAAAACTTTGCTAGACCCGCCCCTGCACAGTTACCAGCTGTCAGCTAC